TACAGCTTCATTTATGTTTGAGACTTTAACTGTACTTTGAAGTAAGAATGCTGTAATATGATTCCTTTCTACAGTAAGTACTGTGAGGATAACGATAATCTGAAATGGATAACATTACGCTGACCAGGGATTGTTATGGCTTAAGTTCAATCAAGCATGCCTTTAAATGAGACAGGAAGAAAAACCTCAGTAAATGGTCTAACAAAGTCTTTATTTGGTTATTCTACACAGGCTGCTGATTATTTCAAATGCGTTTATGAAGCATTTACTCTATTTGCAAAAGAATTCTTAATTTTGTTCAACAGCACTGGAATAATCTTGTCTTCATCTCATGAGCCCAACGTTCCATAAGTTAATTTCCGTCCGCATTATGCTGTCGATAAACTCTTCATCATTTCGGTCACATCTTAGAGCTACAGTACCCTCCTCCACCATCACTCATCACTGTATCACAGTGTTCCTTTTACTGAGCACTCTGAGAGTTGGGCCTTTTGTCATTCCTTCATTTGGTCCTGTGGGAAAATTCTTTCAAGCCTCATCACTTAGTATTATGTGCAGCAACTAAACCAAGAGGGACAGTGGACAATTGTCAACATGGATTTTACTGGAATAACATGCTCATACAAGATTTCAATATTACTGAAGGTTTTTTTAGAAAGAAGGATTCCCTCTATGAATGGTCAGAGGCATACTTGTAGTTTTTATGGCCATTAACAAGATAATAACTTTGGGAAAATTCTTTTTCCAGATTTGAAGGTCAAAGTGTTTCTCCTTGACACATTTTAAAGAGCTCATTAAAAAACAGGTTGGTGATACTGAGGTCTGTAATTATAGGTGGCCCACATTTCTCAACAGGGTTGAGGTCAGCACCTGGAAAAATTATTTCAGAAGCTATTGATTTGGGTATGCAACAGAAAGCATGCAGTTCTTCATGGGCTGCAGTTTTTATATTTTATGCATATGTGGTTTTATGTGTGCTTTTTTATGTGTGCTTTTTTATGGGTTTTTTATGTGTGCTTTTTTTATGCATATAGCATTTAGTGTAGCTGTTTGCTTAGCTAAGAACATTAAAGCTATAGTTAACTTGATTAGTTCATACATGTGTACCTGGTAATAAAGCAAAGAGCTACAGTACAGAAGAAAAAAACATCTGCATTTCTGGGATTTTTTTTCCAAAATCCTATACATTAATTTTCTCTAGAATAAAAAACTTACTCTCTCTTCTTCCTTTTTTATTGCAGATCATTCAAGAATGCATACATCAACCAATAGCTTACTATCTACTGAGATGTATCACACTACTTAAGGATATTTCTCCATCAAATTCTTTTTTGCAAGTTGATTATCTCAATCCCAAACAATCTAGTTTAGAAATTGAGTCCAAATCTAAGTCAGCAATTATTTATTGTATTTTGTCATGACCCCTGTCAGCTGAATGTTGGCAGCTCAAAAGTAATATGGGACACAATAATGGATGGATGGATGGATGGATGGATGGATGGATGGATGGATGGATGGATGGATGGATGGATGGATGGATGGATGGATGGATGGAT